GTTGAAAAACATTGGCCTATTGCATTATTATATAGCTCTTTAGCAATAAAAATATATTATAAATTAATTATAATTTTTAACTGAATAAAATGTTTACAGTAAAAATATATATGTTATATTTATATATTTAGATGTATGTTTTATAAAATATTAATAATTTTAATTTATTTTTATTCATTTAATTATTGCATTTTATATTATTGTGTATTAAAAATATTATACAATATAAATAATTAAAATATAAGAGTATAAAATAAATTAAAACATAAGAAATTCATCGAATTTAGTAAGTAGTTATTATTTTTTATTTTATTTATTGTATTGCAACATTATTATTTCTATTAAAGAAAAAATATATTAAAAAATAGATTATTCATCTTATGTCAGTTTTGTGTAGAGGTAAAATAACAATAATTAAATGAATGTTTAAAAAAAATTACAGTTTGCTCGATTTGATGGATGAGATGTTAAATATAGATTTTTACATTCTTACTTCAGATATTTCTATTTTGTATACGCAATTTTCGTAGTCACGTAATGAATATACTACCCTGAGTCACGTTAGTGGTGCGTGTTATACACGCTTACAACAACGAAAATACAACAATTCGTTGTAAACTTAGCATTTAATTTATATGTTTAGAAAATAATAAATAAATTTTCTACTACTTGTTAATCGAGTTTTCTCTTAAAGATTCCTTAAAGTTGATGAGATGTGAATATCTTGATTATTTGTTTAAGAATGGGTCCTAGAGTCAAACAGTTCTGCTGTTAGTCGCTCTGCGTCTCCACCATCGAATATTGAACGATGTGCTTCTTTATAAAGCTAGAAACGAACTGAAAATCGAAGAGAAGAAGACAAGTTCTGTTCGGGAACGTTCCTAGTTGTTATAAAGGCAAATTCTGTTACTGTACAAGAAAAATTCTTTAGTATTAAAATTTGGGTTTAAGTGGAAAATATCTCTAATGTATCAGATGTTTCTTCGATAGAATTCCACAAGTAAAGCTAAGAATATAGCATGGGTTGTCCCTTCGAGAGAGGGGTACCCAATTCTTTTAATTCGTTAAAGGACAGTGAACATGAGAGAAAATTTCGTGTGCGAAATGTTAACTTGGACAGATGTGACTCACATGAACTAGAAAGATTGGATTTACCTGGATTGACTGCAGCTGTTTTGAGTCTCATCAGTCCTTCGGTAAGTGCTACACGTGGTCGTTTATATACAATACTTTAAAGGAAATTCCAAAATTTCTGATTAAATCAGAGAAATGTTTAATTATAATATTTCCAGTATCAGAAGTATTTAAAACCTAAAATTTTTAATGTTTTAAAACTGTAAATTTAATTATAAGCTAACTAATTTCAAAATTATTCTATTAAACAAACAGGAATTTTATTCTTCATATAACCTTAATTTCTTACTAAAATATTATTTTAGAAATAATATTAATTATTATAAAAATTTTGTTAATTTTTGATAAAATTTAAATCTAATCAACCATT